TTCTTAGTAGCTTTTTGTGTCTTTCGTAGTTTTTATTAATTTTTGTGTTTCGGAAAATTTGTGTTTTGATGATCAGCAGAAAGAGTTGGTTGTTTAATATCTTAATCAATTTGTATAAAATTTATATAATATGTAATTTAAACAATTTATTTATGATATTGAAGTTTCGCAATATGCATTGCTTTAAAAAAAAAACCAATATCATATATAATTAAATTTTTTTAGGTCGCTATATTTTTTTTTAGGTAGTACAAAGAAATTGCTATTCTGATTGGTTAAATCATATAATGTTTACATGTAAATCATATGATATCATATAAAATTCGTTATACAAAGTTGATCTACAATCTATTTTATATAAAATTAGAAATTTGTATACCCTACTCTTAAATCAATAAAGATAAAAGATGATTAATATATAAACATGAGCTGTTAATTGGGTTTATTTTTGTCTGAATTGATGTGTCACTAAAAGAAAAACATATATATTTATATATAGGCTATATATAAATGTGTATGTTTTCTTTTAGCAACACTCATATAATAGTAGAGATGTTAAAAAGTCCGTCTTATACCACTTGGCAAATGTTCAAAGCAAAGTATTAATAATTTGTAAATGTGATAGAAATTAGGCCTCATATAGATTCAGATCTACAGAATCTTATGCAAGCCTTTTTGGTATTTCGGCAAAATCTTTTGATATTTCGGTAGAATCTAGAAGTTTCGGCTGTATATTAAATACAAATTGCTGAAAATTTCAGAGCCTGCCGAAATACCAAATGGGCTTGTATAAGGCTCTGCAGATCGAGTTTAACCTATAAAAGGCTCACATTTACAAATTATTGATAACTTTGCTTTGAATATTTGCCAAGTGGCCGAAATGGCCAAAACATTTTGGCCACATGTATAGTCAGTTCGGTCTTTAAAAAGTCTGGTCCAGACTAGTTAGGAACTAGTTCATAACTCCTGTTCGAAATTGATCCAACCCTAATGGTTTAACATACAATTCAGATAATTTTGAAACTTGTAACAGCAAAAGAAAACAATCAAATCAGAATATCTAATCTAATTAGCAGGTTATATAGTAAATTCTAATAATAAAGATTTTTTATAAATCAACGACGATATAATAAAATTCAAGCTGGAATAACTCACAAACCAGCAAACCACACAAATAAAATTACATTTGTCGGGTTCGTTTAATATGCTCTTTAAAGTGATAACACCTTTTTTTATTTTCATTGTCTGGAGTGTATCGGCAGACTCTCAATTTCTATGCAAAGTTCTCGTTCTTGATGCATTTTTAATAAAAACATCAATTGAAATTTCTGTTTATCGCCGTTGTATGATGTGTAATACAACAGATCTCTTATAACAGGTTTTAGTTTTTCAGTAAGAAACAAAAAAAAAGAGCATTGCTATTTTAAAGAGTATGTTAAAAGGAACCCGGCAAATGTAATTTTATTTGTGTGCATTTGCTGGTTCAGAAGTTATTGTGACTTGAATTTTATTATATATTTTACTATCACTGTCGTTGATCTATAAAAAATCTTTATTACGTATTAGAATTTACTATATGACCTGCATTATGTTTGTAATTAGACCAATAGTAGACACCCAAACATACGTATATATTTCATATAGTATAATAGAGAATAATACGTAGCCTCAAGTATGAGTGCTATTTCAGATTTGACTCAAGGTGAAGCCTATATAGAAAACAATAATATAATATTTCTGGTTGTTAAACAATATAAGTGAAAGCATAGTCACGTAAATAAATATTGTTAGCTATAAATTTTCTTCTTTCCTAATATCTTAAGTAATCATATTACCTGATATTCCGGTTAGATGCTAAGTTTAATTTCAACATATCCACCGATTTGGTTTCGTCCCAAAATTAGCTAATCATGATCGAGAATTATTTGCTATTAAAACTTATTACAAAGTAAGTTTTTACAACAACGGTCTTTTAAACTTACTTTTAATCTATAATTAAGTGTATAGAATATTTTAATATTTACATATTTAATTATTAGCTGAAAGTAAGTTAAAAAGGCAGTTTTTCTGAAAATTGCTTCTGAATTTACACTTACCCATTATACAACCGATCGTTCAATGACAAACCGATCCTTCACTACCTGAAAATACCCTAACACTTCAACAACTAGTGATAGTGCTTCCTTTTACAGCTTGGCGCAGGGTTGTTAGTAGTAAATTACTATCGATAAATTACGGTAATTTTCCAGGTAATTTACCAAAGATGTGGTAAATTTACCCATATGTATATATATTAAAAAACTATTAAGTCTAAATTTGACCAATCAAATCTTAAAAAGTTATTTTACATTTATGTAATATAAGGTAAAATGGGGTATTGTGGTGAAGTTAAAGTCAGTACTAGCAAAACTTTGTACTTACCATATAAAAGATCTTTTTTTTTTTTAGAATTTAAAACTGACGATTATTTTAAAGTAGATTTTACATAAATTATTACGGTACGATAAACAAATTTAGAATATGATAATCGGTTTGTACACGGAATGCAAAAATCAAATTTTGGAGGGGTGGGGGTATTGTGGCAAAATTGGAAAATCAGATTGAAATTTTTTTTTTTTTTTGTAAAAACTATTTCTCATTAATTTTTTATTTAATTTTTTTTTTAGATCTAATATTTTTAGCAGTAAGAGGTTACTTTTACTGCTTTTTAGTTTTGCGCTCTTCTTTTTTACATTTTTTTCATTCACGTTCTACTTTTTTTTGCTCTAAATTTCATTGTCGCTCGATTTTTTTCTGAGTCATGATCTTCTTTTTCCGTTTCGCTTCTTCAACCTTTTTTTCTGCTTCTTCATTTGTCTTCTTCAATTGCTGCCAACTTTCATCATTGGTAAGAAGCTGTGCAAATGAAAGCATCTTTCTTTTTTTAGGGGCAGGTTCAGATCCAGATCTATCCTCCAAAGAGGCCTTCGAATTCTCAGTTTGCGGAGCATGAGGGAAGTTATATTTGAAGATCAAATGTAAAGAACTTGTTCCAGGGCTTTTGTAGGTTTCTAATTCTTCTTGGGTTGACGTAAGCTAAACTTTTAATGAATCTACTTTATTTTTAAGCATCTCATTTTCTAACACTAACTGTGTAAAATTTGTACAGGTATAATGAGAATGAGTAGTTAGTTTAGTAGTTGGTTGTGGGGACGACATAACTGATTGTGAAGGTTGGTTAGTTGAAGATTGGTTAGTTGAAGGTTGGTTAGTTGAAGGTTGGTTAGATGAAGGTTGGTTAGACGAAAGTTGATTAAGTGAAGGTTGGTTAGATGAAGGTGCAAAATTGAATCTTTCTGTCGCTAATAAGGGGTCTAAACAGTCTGAACTTATGGCCTTGAGATTGAATGGCCATATTCCTGTAATTTTAAACACGTTGCAAATAGCTGATGGGGTATAAGTATCGATAAAAGCTAAACTAAGAAGTTTCGCAAAGGTATGTTTTGTTACTACTTTGTTAGTAGTATTGTGATATTTATCACATTGTTTTCTAAATTCTTTTTTTAATTTTGTAAAAGGAATTTCAGATGGCTGCATTATATGAGTCATGTGAGGTGGAAGCGCATAAAGAAAGATTCTATTTTGGCAACAAAAATCAATGCATGTATAACTAATATAGCTCTTATGACCATCAAGTATTAGCAAGACTGGGCGAATTGGTGGGATTGAGTTAGTGAAAAGGGTAAGGTACATTTAAAAAAGGTCTTCGCGTATATATCCGATGTCTGTAAAGCCCATTACTGTTCCAGGAAGTGTGCCTTCTAACAAACCTGGAATTGTGCAAACATCCTTATAGATAATCAAAGGTAGAATATATGACCTGGCGGCTAAGATTATAGAAGCAACTGATATATGCTTATGAGAATTTCCGTATGCAACTTTATGAACCTGGTGTTAGTGTTACAAATCGGAAGTTAAAAAATCACAACTAATCGATTAATTAATTAGTTATAGCTTGTCAATTAATTGATTAATTGATTAGTTACAACTCATCGATGAATCGACTAGTTGCAATTAGTTGTTATTTAAAAAAATAATTAACTAATTGATTAAAAATTTTTAACGATTTGTAACACTACCTGACGCGAGCCTTTTTTTGCAACAACCTTTTTTAATTTAGGTACAAGAACAAACTCAGTTTCATCCATATTCTAGATTTGCATTGCCATAAGTAAATTTTGGTTAATAATTTGTCCAAGTTTATTAAAATGATCATTAACAATGATTGCATTTGCTTTTTGTGTGCGAGCTTCAGATAATTCTTGAGGGCTCGAAATGATAGTTCAGAATGATCTCTCATGAATCGAGCCCACCAATCTCTCACTGATCCTTTATCCCCAAATAGGTGTAGTCGTTTGTTATGCCGCATTATTTCTATTACACAATAGTTAACGCCGGATTTAGTTAAACCAAATCTAAGCTGTTGCATGTTTATGCAATAGCCAATGAGTTGGTTTTCCTCATGTTCATTAAGAATAGTGGGCAGGCCCTAGCGTTTAGGAGGAATACCATTCTTGGCCGCACGTCGAAGGGTAGTTTCAGGAATCCTAAAATTCTTCATCACACTATTTACACTTGGGTGTTTATGACCAGCAGGTTGATTGTTTAATTTATTAATCGCTGCAGAGATTTTATTTTGTCTGCTAAGATAAGAAACTTCTGGCATTTTGGTTGTTGCTAATATAAAAAATAAGTAAATTAAAAAAAAAGTTAATAAATAAATAAATAATATAATTTAATAGAAAATAAATAAGAAATTTAATTTAATAAAAAAATTGTGTAATAGAAGAGCGTGAAAATTAACTTAATAAAAATTTTTAAAAAAAAATTTTAATTTAAATAAAAATGTTTAATTAAAAACAAAAATTTAAAAATCATGATTAATTTAAAAAAAAAATGTGTAAGCAAAAAAGAATACGAAAACAACTTTATTAATATAACTTAAGTAACTCAAATATAACACTAATAAGATTTTATTAAGTATGATAAGAAGTAACTCAAATATAGCACTAGTGAGACACAGTATCGCTACAGTATTGGGCTTATGTTCAGGTCATGTTTACATAAACTTTATACCTAACACTACTTAGAGTAATGAAATATAACAAAAGATGACAAATATGAGTGAGTCTTTGGTTTTAAGAACTGTAATGTGATGAGTACAATGCTACTAACGAACGTGACTTTTCTTTTTTATATCACATCATTTTACTTTCATATTCAAGTAATACAAATTCTAAAAAAGAAAAAGAACGTGCAATAGTTGAACACGTAAGATTAGCAAGATTATAAAGTTAAATGCAGAAGGTTAGAGGTTATTTTCTTCAGATTAATTCTTAAGTTTAATTTATTTAATTTATCATAATTTTGAAAATTTTTAGTAAATTTATCAGGCTGTTTGGTAAATTACCAGTAAATTTACCCTTAGTTATTTTAAAAATAAAGTTGTGCCTCATATTAGAGCCTC